CGGGAAGGAGAGGCACATGGAGGAGCAGCTGCCCTCTCTCTCCAGCCGTGTGTAGGATGGGAAAGGGTAGGAAAGCTGGCAGGATCCCTGCAAGGGACCCTTGAAGGTCCCCAGCCAAGCCTGCCACTGCCCCAGGACCACTGCCAACACCAGCCCACGGCTCTGTCACACCATGCCTTGAAAAACTCCAGGGAGAGATTCCACACCCTCAATAACTGTCCTTCTAGGGAAAATACTCTCCCTGACAGTCAACCTGAACCTCTCCAGATGGAATGTGGGGCCATTTCTCCCTTCTTTAATGCAGCCTGTGGTGCTACTCTAAGCCAATGATATCAGTGAAGGTTAGATCTCGCTGTGGCCTCCCTGTGCTGACTGCTGTGATGGCACCGAGCCCAGCAGACAGCAATTCCCAGCTGAACCACCAGAATCCATCAGGTTCAACCAAGGCTACACCACGGGGGAGGGTGAGGAACCACCTAAGCTGTGACCTGCCAAGTGTCTGTGGGTGCACTGCAGCCACAGCACACCCCCGTGCAGGGCCACGCGGAGCTCGCGTGCAGCAGAGCAAGAGGACGAACTCCACCAGGCTCTCTTTACATTCCATGATGTCTTAAAGACAGAACAGAACAGAGGATTTTTCAGCTGGAAGGGAACTACAATGATCTAGTCCAAGTGATGGAACAGGCTGCCCAGAAAAGTGGTGGATGCCTCCTTTCTGCAAACATTCCAGGCCAGGTTTGACAGGGCTTGGAGCAACCTGGGCTAGGGGAAGGTATCCCTGCTCATGGCAGGAAGGAAGTGGGTTCAGGTGACTTTTAAAGGTCCCTTCCAACCCAAACCATTTCATGATCACTTCAGGGCTGACCTGCAGTTAAAACATACTCTTTAAGGGCATTGTCCAAATGCCTTTTAGACACTGACAGCCTGGGGACATCCACCACCTCTCCACAAAGTCTCATCTGAGCTTTGACCACCCTCTTGCTAAATACTTCCTAATGTCCAGTCTGAACCTTCCCTGGCACAGCTTGAACCATTCCCATGTCGCTGCATCCCAGGGAGAAGAGCTCAGCACTTCCCTCCCCACGTCCCTTCCTCAGGAAGGTGCAGAGAGTGATATCACCCCTCAGACTCCTTCTCTCCCAACTAGACAAACCCAGAGCCCTCAGCTGCTCCTGGACATGCCTTCCAGCCCTGGCACCAGCTCTGTTCCCTCCTCTGCACACATTCCAGCACCTTCCCATCCTTCTCCACAAGTAGGACTGAGCCCTGCACACCAGAAAAAGCAATCTGGGCTTTGAAAGGTACTCACTCTCTTCTTACAGTTGCAGTCTGTGTCTCGAGGGGAAAAGGAGGAATATTTATCCCTGGGAACAGTCTTCATACCAAGCTCCTCTTGCATTTTGCTAGAGAAAAGGGAGGAAAAGTCAATGTTATTATGTCCAGCTAGGAGAACCTTCTACCAGGCCAATCTTTCCTCAGCACTGGCAACTCTGAGGTCCCAGCTCAGTGCTGTGCTCAGCTTTGGGCACTCACTGCCCAAAGGCCATTGAGGCACTGGAGCAAGTCCAGCCAAGGGCAACGAGGGCAGCAAAGGGCTGGAGCACATGGGCAAGGGCTGAGGGAGTTGGGGCTGTTTGACACCTATAGCAGAGCCTGTTCGGCAGACACAGAACCAGCCCCACCAGCGCCACCAAACCAGCACAGCTCTCCTGTGGCAACTGGAACAACGAGAACCTGCCCTGGCTGCAGGCCTGGCCCTTGGAATATCAGGGTCCTTCCATGCTATACAAGTTCAGCCCAGCAATCCCAGGCAAGGCCTCACTTTTTCTTGTCCAGGCTGAAGCTCAGCACTTGGCTCTCGGGCTCAGCCATGGATCCAGCGGCGCTGGAGTCGGTGTCCTCAGCCCAGCCATTCTCCACGCTGCCCCGAGCCGGTGGGGCCGTGATCTCCATCCCATCCACCAAGGCCTGGGACAGCTCCTCCTCTGTCACAGCTGCAAGAGCCAAAACAAAGGCCTGTTGCAATGAACTGGTGCTGGAGGGAAGTGAGAAAGTTAGCAGGAAGGGATGCAACCATGTTTTGCTGTTTCTTATCTCTGGAGAATGCTCCAAAGCCACCAAATTGCTGCTACCAGATGGAAAAAAACCCAAAACAGTAGAGAAGCTTTTCTACAACAACAGATCCAATTACAGAACCTCTGTTCGGCCACAGCACAGGAGAGAGCACTAAAAAACCTCTAATTACTGTTACTGTCTGAGTGATAATGAGGCACTCTCAGTCCCGCTAGGGTTGGGAAGGGAAGGCAACAGGAAAGCAGCAGGGGAAGGGAAAGGGAAGGGAGGAAGGGGAAAGGGGAAGGAAAAATGAGAAAAGGGAAGGGGAAGGGGAAAAGGGAGAGGGAAAGGGGAAGGGAAGATTAGGAGAAAAGTAGGGGAATGATAAGGGAAGAGTAGGGGAAAGATAGGGGAAGGGAAGAAGAAGGGAAGGGGAAGGGAAGGATAGAGAAAAGAATGAGGGAAAGGGTAGGGGAAGGGAGAAAGAGGAAGGGAAAAGGAAAGGAGAAAAGAGCTTAGAAGTGTTGGAACTCACAGAGGGAACCCTCAGCTTCTAACACCTCCTAACTGAAAGCAAAATCACAGGATGCCTTAGAGAGAGGACACAGCAGGTTCCTGTCTGCAGTAGCCCATGACTGGGGCTGTTGAGTGATCTGCAGGACACGCAGCCTGGTTGTCCAGGCTGCTCAGATAACCCACCCTGGCTGCCCAACCCCTGTAGGACACCCACCCTGGTTGTCCAGGCGCTGCAGGCCAGGCAGGTTGCGCAGCACAGTCATGCGGTAGTGGTGAGGGTCAGGGCCACAGCAGGGGTTCTCAGCCAGCCACAGCACCCGCAGCCTGGGCAGGGCCTTCAGGTGGAACAGCTCCTCCAAGCTCCTTATGCTGTTCTTCCTCAGGTACAGCTCACACAGCTTCTGGCACTGCTGCAGCGGCTCCAGGTCCGAGATGCCGTTTACGCTGCAGGGAGATGGTTACAGCCACGCAAGTCTGTCCCTCCCTCCCTGCACCACCAGCAGCTTCCCAGCTCCCTTTCCTGCTACAGCCCCATGGCAAAGGACACTCAGCCCATGCCTTATGGCATTTGGAAACAGAGGGAAGGATTAAACGAGCCAGTGCTCCTGACTGTGCCCCTGCCAAGTCTGCACTTTTCTGTTGCAGAGCCATTGAGAACCCATAGAAGATTCCCAAGCTAAAAAGCTCAAATTCACAGAGCATTGGCTCCATGGGACCCCCAAGAAAGGTGAATTTAGTGGCATAGTTTGCCCAGGGAGGTATGTGGCTGCCCCAACCCTGGCAGTGTTCAAAACCAGGTTGGATAAAGCCTTGAGCAACCTGCTCTGGTGGGAGGTGTCCCTGTCCAGGGCAGGGGTTGGGGCTGGATGATCCCTAAGGTCCATTCCAACCCCTCAAGATACTATCGTCCTCTGAATGTTGGGTGTATCATGGAAAGGAAAAGCTCTGTAGGATCCATGAAGCATTTCAACAAGCATTCTGCAAACTGGTCCCATACAGAGGCCAAGAAGATCCTCATCCATGGGGTTTTACCACTTCTCAAACCAGGGATTATTTCCTCAGGGAGTCAAGGGAAGGTGCAGCTAGTGAGGAATTATGATTTCTGTATCTCTGCTGCTTGAAAAATGGGGCCTGAAGAGCCAGGCAGCTCACACACACAGCCACAACCAAGGTGGTAAGAAGACAAGCCCCAGGAGGAAGGTGGTTTCCCTGCCCTCTCCAAAGCTGGCAGTCTGGCATTCACCTGAACGTGACCACCTCGACGTTAGGCAAATCCCGACATATGGATATCTGGGCAGGAAGAGACACAAACAGTAGGCATTCATGGGAAAACATATCCACAAACCCATGTGCAATTACAAGCAGCATGCTCAGGAACTCACGTTTGCTCCAGCCCAACCTGAGCTGTAGAGCAGCAGAGATTTGTTGCCCCAGGGAGTGCAGAGTCAGCAGCTCCTCAGCCTTTCCACCCCGGAGTGGGAGCACAGGCACCAGCCAGGGTCATCTACACTTCAGCTGCAGCAGCTCTGCAGCCTCCACAAGGAGAGGCTCCCTCTCGCCCCAGCAGCTCTCTCCTAATGAGACAGCCTCATCCCAAACCCCAGACCAATGAGGCCGGACTCAGTCCTGCTCTCTGGGCCTCCATGCAGGGTCTTGGAAAGGAATTTTCCAACCATGAAACAGCAGCAATCCCTTTTTTTTTTTATGTTGTGAGATGCTAATGAACCCCAAAGAGCCCTGCAGCTCCAGCCCAGGCCTGCTCCCTGCCCAGCACCCTGCCAGCCCCATGCCCTCCATCTCTCTGCTGCTAGCCCAGGGCTGCAGGCTGGGGCTCCTCGCTGGCTCCTCGGGACTCACATCCGTCAGGTGACTGCCCCTGTGGGAGGAGAGGGGTGTTAGGGGAAGCAGAGCAGGGCTGAGACTCCCCTGCTGCTGCCCCCATGCACTGGGGCACAGCCCTGAGCCCTTGGTGTGGCCCCACCAAAGCTGCTCTGGCACAGCCCAGCATGGACCTCCTTGTGCCCCCACAGCCCTGCCCGGTCCCTGGTCCTGCCTGTCTGCCCTGTGCCCCTTCCCCATCCCTGCCTGACACCACTCCCCATCCCTGCATCTTGCCCCAACCCTGTCTGTCCTCCCCTCTATCCCTGTCCCCCTTCCCCATCCATCCC